AATCAAATTTCAGGTGCTGCTTTAAATACAGCGTTTTTGGACCAGGAATTGAATTGGACATTTCCACCTCAGCGGTCGGAAGAAAGGGAGGCGACAGATGCACCGTATAGGCCGGTAGTATATATATACCCTGGACCATGTTACTGCTATTATGTATCCATTTTGTAGCAGGCTTATTTACCTAATTAGTATAATACTGGTAGATTATTCAGCCATATTTTACTGTATATTTAAAACTGACCATGGGGAACCACAACCCACAAAAATCCTTGTCATGAGACTTGTTAATGACTAGGTATTTATTGCTCAATAAAAACCGAAGCATTAAACTGCACGGCTCAAATAATGTTCCATCAGGCGCATCACGATATGAATCCGAAGTTTAAAACACTGCTAATCAGCTTGATTTGAAATTCCATATGAAAAATCATTGGTGGTATAAAAGAAAACTTTGTAAAACTTATATCTCTATGAATATTGTTTTAGTACTTTATGAATGTCGAATTTAAATTGAGAACATCGCAGTCTCCAGGCCCTCTCTACAAAACAACTGTTCTAAGATTGCGAGTAATATTTTTATGTTAAAAACTCCACTTAATGAATATCGCCGACCAAATTTCTTTCGTATTTTACAAATTGCAATAAACTTTACTTTGATTCGATAGATTCTGGCAAAATTTTCAATATTTATGGAGCTGAAGTGAAGAATGAGGAAGATGCTTTACATGCCAATTTACAAGCCCCCTCAAAGCTTACCGCATGTGCGTTTGTTTATAGTAAATTAAATTGTGCGAGGCTGAGTATAGCAATCAAGTGTCTGAAGTATGAGATGAAATGGGCTGCAAGCTGCAACCAGAAGTCTTACGTACGTTCATATCCGTTCGATTCAATTTACATATGAAAATATTACTAACAGTAGACTTAACTCATTGATACATGCATGCTCAAATGTGTGATGAATGAAATCTTTTTCCGTGTATTTTATCAGGATAAAAGAATCATGCGACACATTACTAACATGAACGGTTTCTTCATTCTATTCGCCAACTGAACAATTAGAAGCTAGTGAATCCTACAGGGCGAAGAAATTGGCAATATCAATTTTTGGCGAAATGGCAATGCCAATTTTTTTACTCTAAAACTTGTACATCCTTCTAGGCAATATGGGCGTTCCCAGTTGCTGCTAGAAATTTTACCGTATATAAATTACCCCATTTGTATTATTTTAAATCATTTGCCTGCTATGTGTAAGCATGTTAGATGAGCATTTCATGGTTCTGCTATATTGCACACTCTGAACATTTTCATCCAGCTTTAAGATGCGAAAAATGTATAGATGGTAAAAAATGATCAAGCCTAATTTCACGAGGTGGCATTCATGATGACGTGGCATTACTGGCAACATATTTAAATAAACAATGCATTATATTCTCAATTATCATTCATTACTCAATATGTTTTCCGATTCTCAAACAGGAGGTAGAAAATTCACCATGTTCTCAAAAAATGAAGTGATGAAGCTATCTATTCAATGGCGGCGATGTAAAACAAGCTCGACTTTTCAAAATATTTAGTGGCAATTTTTAATTAATTCAATGTGTTACTGGGCAAACCGATATTGCAAACTTGTGCATTATTTAGTCGGAATGAATATTCATTTTTTAATATTCAATTACCAAAATGGAATGAAGATGGCATCAACGTTGCCAAATGACTCCCGTGGAATCGTAGCGCGTGTTGGGTTCTCTGGTGCACTAGACGCTGGTATCTATAAAATACATCAAATCTATTAACAAATTTTATTCAGAAAGGAAATTTTAACTGCTATTGAAACGCAGAAAATACTTGAGCGATTATATGAGACCTAACTAATCTCCCTCTTATCAAAATGCTAACCCATCTTATCTATCCGGCAGGCGACTTAACTAATCAACTGATATAGCATTCGAAAATATAACGGAATCATAAATATGATAATTTAAGTTTAAAGACGGTGGCTTCATGTCAACAGCTCAGTGCAGCGTGTGCAATGAATCTTCACAGAATGCCGATAACGCTATCTTTATCATTGACATTGGCGGTTGTATTTAACAGTATTTTAACCTAATCTCTGTAATTTCAGTAATCGTTGCTTTCTGTAAATTTATGCCATGATTAACATTATTTAAATTCCCTTACTCGCTTTTGTGAGTCGTGCAAAGTGAGTTTTAAAAATAAATTAATTAATACTTCCAAAATATAGTCGATAATTTTAGATATGGTATTGAATTAAAACCATAATTTTCAAGGCGATTTTCAGGCAATCTTTAAACTGATTTATTTTCATTAAAAGGGACGATTGGGATATAGAAGCCAACCCGTGTAGGTACAAAGTAAAAAAATGATTAATTTACTGAGATAGTACAATTAAACTGAACAACTGAGATTCACACTCCCCATTCACATGGATGACAGCCAATGCGATTCTCGCTGACAACACGCAACACCGGCTCGACTCGAGGCGAGCCTAGAAGTGACTTTTTCATTGTGCATCGAGCACATTGCACCACGAAAAGTAAATAATATCATAAAGTGAATTTATCCAAAACATTAGAGTGTCATTCTATATTTAGTTCGACAAGATTTCGGTGTCATGGCATGCGCGTGTTCAAGGTTAGAAGACTATAAGCCTGCACATTCTCTCAAAGCTCAGTTGCAAATTTGCCACAAACGTTGGGAGCTCTTTCTATTGTCTTTTAAAATCAGTCATATCCGGTCAAATATATTATAAGCTTCCTTTAAGAACGAATTGAATTTATAGTTCACATTTAAATTTGACGTTACAGTCATGATGCATTATAAAACATTTTACAGTTCTCAGGAAAAGAGTCGGTGCTATTAACATGTAAAACAACTTTAAAGGTAACAATTTCTAAATATCTTGCGATAGCCATTTGCATTTTTGACCACCATTGCAATCGGACACTGTTCTGCTTATTTTCATTTATGAATTCAACATATAACATATTCAGTTAATGACATTCGGTACCTTCTATTGTTGCAAACGCAAAAATTTGATGCTACTTGTCTGTTACGTTGCTCAAATTGATACCAAATGCATGCCTATTGCTGACGGAGTCTGGGTGAAATTATTTTCTATCTTTAATATTAAAGTTTTTAATGTCTCCTTTGTTCCCTGGCTACGCCAATCTATATTTTCCCAGAAAATTGAAAGAATATCAATTCGTTGAAATATCGAGTCATTCTTATCACCCGTCATGGATATATGTACATATATAAGCCTGCCGCATGACTACGGAGTGCGGAGTTAGTTGCAGTCGCAGACGGCGACGAGAGAGGGTGTTATTCTTGCGTACCTGGAACACGTTGCGTTCAATAACAGGCATGTAGTACACAAAAGAAATTTTTTCCCATTGATCGTAATGAAAATTATCCATCTGATCTGAATTAACGGGGGCGAAAAAATATGCAAAATATCATATAATTATAAATGAAGTACAAATAGAAGTAAAAAGCTATGAATTTTTCACTTTATTTAATTACATCCCAAAAATTGGCCGATTTTTGCCACTTTTATTTGTAAAAACTATCATTTCTATGTTTTCTATGAGCCAATTTCAAAGATTTTAGTACAATTAAAAGGCTCTTGTTGTAAGCTATCTATTCTAACTAAAATAAAACATTTTGATTGAGACTTTGACTGCAAGTGTGGAGGGGGGGAGGGGGAAACAGGTGTGACTGATAGATATGAAATGCAGAATTGATTACAATAAATTCCACTTTCATGGTTGTTAGCAACATAAGTAAGCTTAAAAATATGAGATTTATATATCCATTGCGAGAAAGCGTTGAAGATAAGTGAATGGGTGAGGGGTTACGATATAAATTAGCTAATATATATAAAAAATTCCCGCAGAATAAAACTTGGACACTAACGGTAACAATGCCTTCTTAATTTTATGGTGACATCATGATCATGGATGCTTCCGACTCCAAGACTCGGATAATTTTAAAGCCGGACTCGCAACTGGTCTCACGGCCGGTCTTCAAAATTATACACATGCACAGCAACCATGAAATAACTCCTAAAATAATAAACGTAGCTTGATGAAACTTTGCACATGTATTTTTTAAGACCTGACACTGATCTCTGGCCCGTGTGAATTTTTTCGATTTCGCATTCATTCTTGATTTATACGGTTATGCGGGCTAAAATACTCAGCGACCACAAAATATCTTCTAAACTACGGAACCGATTTTAACGAAGTTTGCATATACATTCCTAACCACCTAAAGTTGATGTCTAGCCCGCGTGAATTTTTTCGATTTCGCCTTCATTCTCGAGTTTCACGTCTGTACGGCGAAATGACCGGCGTTTCTGCAGCCGATTTACAGCCGGGTTTGAAAAATTCTATCGACCATGATATCTCTTAAATTAACTGACGTAGCAATGAAACTGTACACATGTATTTTTAGTACATTCTCTCATTTATGGAAAAAATGCACTATTGTGCTCGCCATGTCCGTCCGTCCGTCCGTAACTTCACGTTTTCGTCGACGAGAAAATGCGCGCTGTCACTCACTGCAGTGAGTACTGCGTTATATTTTTTAGGACCTAACGACGATGTCCAGCCCGCGTGAATTTTTTCGATTTCACCCTCGTTCTCGACTTATACAGCCATACGCGGAATCCAATACATGAACGTTGTAATACATAAATACACATATTCAGTGAGCGTTATCTTCGTACAGTTGCTTTTTTTTTGTTTTGGTCATTATCCGCACCTCTCCCCAATAACATGAAGAATTTATTATATATTTGGTTTTTCGTGTCAAATATAGTCATTTCTCATTTATTCATAATTACTGTTATTAGACGTAGGTAGTATTCATAAGGCGTCTTTACCAACTCGTACGTAAAGTTTTATTAGCAGATTTAGAGTGGCGGACCACATTAATGTCGCTTAGTCATTTGTGAATTTAATTTTTATTTTCACTTTTTCAGATCAGTTGATGCAAAAGAAATATTTTGATATCAATATGGCTGGAAATCCTTATAAAAACTACCTTCTTTCTGTTTTCCAGAAGTAAGTTTTTTCTTAAAAGCTCAAGAATGCTTAGCTTATTGAAAGGCGGTACTGTTTATAAACTAATTTAGATTTTTTATGTTTCTCAAGTTTGTTATGAGTGTCATTTTTGGAAATTTTTCCCAGCATTATAATCTTATGTATAAGGGGATATATTACTATATATAAGATATATTATAGGAAATATCTTAGGTATCGGTAAATATCTTATCGTACTTACTCATATGAAGAATGGTGATATATATTGCACTATATTTGAAATTGAAAAGGAAATTTTTGCTCAGGTTACTTATTTGTAAAGGTAATGAGTAGGTAAGCCAGGAAATTATTTAGATTTATCCCCAAAAATAATTGCTAAAGAAACATCTTTCAGTATAATACTTATTTTTTTAAGTTAATGGTTCACTATGTAAGGAGTAATAACTACTCAAGATGACTGAGGGCCAACTTGCAAGAATGGATTTAATTTGGCACTACATTCTAACATCTATATATGCTCTAGTGTTGACCAGGATCGCAGTGGTACCATAGACGCTCAGGAGCTACAGACTGCTCTCTCTAATGGCCACTTTACTCCCTTTAACCTCGACACTGTGAGACTCTTGATAGGTGAGACCAGCACTGAGGATTTGAGTGTGACAATTAATCATCTTCTCATCAATCTTCCTCCGCAAATCACCCTTCAATTATAGTCTCTTTTCATTTTTACCACCTGTACTTCCATTTCCTGCATAAGCAACATCTGCAATGTTGAAAATTAATCAATTGATATCTTATAACTCTAAACTATAGCAAATATCTTTATTCTGTATTATCAAATTTTTCAAACTAGCATTATAGAATAGCTGATTTCTGTTTATTTCCAATGTGAATTTTTGCTTATCTCATTGATTTTCATCTCAAATGCAAGTTTTCTCTTCAAAGTTTTTCCCGTGTAATCAAAATGAATAAAATTAGACATTTTCATGTCTGATTTGATATGCTTTTGCAGGTATGTTTGACAAAGCCAACAGGAATGTTATTATGTTTGAAGATTTTATTCACCTATGGAAATTCTTGTTGGACTGCCATCATGCATTCCTGTCCTTTGACCAAGACAACTCCAACAACATCAACAAAGAAGAACTAAAAACTTGCCTCACTACTGCTTTTGGTTACAGGTAATGTGGCTAGTAAAATTGAAAATTTTTACACTTGTGGTAGGTATATGCACAAAAAAATTCTTTCCTCTGATCTTGATGAAAATTATACAGCTTAGGGGGACCGGCTTGGTGAAAAATTGAAAATTTTGGCTTTCCCGTATTCTTGGCTCATTTAGTAGCTACTGAAAAGGCGCATCTAATGCAACAGACCGCATGTATGTGCGTGCTCTATTTTTTGCGTAAAGCAATTTAAAAACATATAAAATGAAAATTTTGTAACAATATGTAAAAAGATTTTTGGAATTAAATCTGTATATATATATATCATTATTTTTGTTAATTGCAAAGAGTTACCATTCATTTGAAGGCTACAAACAAGATGTATTCAACAAAGCTACTACCATGGATGTACAGGCAATAATTTTTGCGTAATGCAGTTTTGAACTTTCATAAAATGACCGTTTTATAACAATATTTAAAAATTTTCATATAAAAATGGTATTTGCGTTAATTGCAAAGTCCTCGCCGCACTCGTTTGAAAGCTTCAAACGATGCGCTTTCAAGAAAGCAAATACCATGGATGTATATGCAATAGTTTTTGCGTAATGCAGTTTTGAACTTATATAAAATGAATATTTATGTATACATAAGATAAAAAGCCCCATTTATAGCTTATTTTTCACGTTAAACCGGATAAGAATAAGTCTGAAGACGCATGCTGGTACCCTATAAATGCAAATAATTGGCAATGGGGAAGCTTGAGCTGCAATATCAAGAATTTTTTGTGCATATTCTTATTTTTTCAATAAATTTTTCTTTATTTGGCTCCCCTGAACAATTTAAATATCCAAAAAAAAACATCTTAAAAACTTTATAATTCCTACAGTATTTGAGCTACAGCAATGAAAGACATACGGTATCATTCGATTTGTAAAGACTATACCATAGCGACTCTAGGAGCCCTTTTTTGTATTTGTGCATGGTTTACTTACATATGGGGGGAGTGGGGGTGGGGGGGCTGAAAAATGTAGAAAATGGAAAACGGGCATAAAAGAAAAACGATGAGGAAAATCGAAAATCGGGGCTATAGAGCCGCTAGATAATTTTGTTATGAATCTATTGAAATGCGTCTCCATATTGTAGCATGTGATTTGCAAAAGTTATCAACTTTTTAGAGTACCCCCTTTTTTACCCCTAGATGAGAAATACAAATAAATAATAAATGAATGATGAATTCATTGACTGAATGATGAATTAGTGATTGAAAGATGAATGAACAATGAATAAATAAACAATGAATGTATGAATGAATCCAATGTTCTCAAGTTTAATTCCATATTGGGTTGGTAGTTGCCTCCCAGCAATTGGTCGAGATAATTGGGGCCAATGTATTCCTCAATTATTAAATAAGAAGGACAGTGCTGGTAGTAGAGCTCTTGCATCTACTTTCAAATAGCTTTGTTATTGCTGAAACCATTGTGCCTGCATCAATTAATTAGCATTACTTAATTTTGTTTCAGCTTCTCAGAGCCATTTATTGACGTGCTGGTGCAGAAGTTTGACAGGACGGGGGAAGGCGTAATCTATTTTGATGACTTCATTCAGTGCTGCATTGAGCTACAGGTGGGAAGCGTGATTAATATAATGAAATTCTTCATTTTTTTCAAATTCCAGCAATTCTTTGGCTGCTTGGCGATTCATCTTAATTTCATCTGTGTTAAAAAATTCTAAAAAATACGTATGATCTAACAGGATGGTATTTGTGCTAATTGTTCCCAATTCAAGCTGAAGAACAGGTTCTTGCTGGCCTTTGAATTGTGATAGCATTCATCTCCTATAGGCTGCCTTACATCCTTCAACATTCAGTGATGGGTCTTAATCAATAAATGCGATTTAACACATTATTTAGAAGACACCGTCCACTCACCACTCAACAGAAGGCTCGGGGTCTCCCACTCACCACTCAACTGAACGATTTACTAAACCGCATTTTGATAAATCACCTTGTGGCAATTATTATTTTAATATCCAGTATCATTCGATTTTTCATCTCAAACTCGTTATTGAATGGGGAGCGCAGCCGTGGGTAACAAAATTGACTCGTAAACAGGCCCTGGGCCATACGCCAACCATCAGCATGCAATATCTACACATAGCCTCAGATCAATGAGCTGTCGCTCCGCCCAGTTGTGCTCCGGCCTGTATGCGCTGCGGCCGGTGACTGAACGGCGCTGTTGTGGTGGGCGCTTTGTGTCATAAGCCGTGAAGATGCCCGGCTGCGTTACGCTCGGGAAGGTATATGAATCGCACTGTGGACTTGGGCTATGCTGACCTCTAGCTATCCACCCGTTGAATGCGAGGAATTTTATTATTAGAAACATGCGTCCGATTGGCATTAAGATATCAACCTCATTCCGTGTGTTAAGAAATGCCTTTGTCAGCGGCAGAGCTGCTACAAGATAACTAAACATTATTAGGGACAATAATTCACCACTATCAGGGGCAGATGCTTGCAGCTCAAAGCCAGGACAAAATATAAATTAATTTCAGGCAACTGTGCTCATTTATTTAACCTTCAATGCCGTCTATATCTCTTCTTGTCATCCGTCAGTACTCTGTAGCATGCCGGTTCACTGGCAATGGATAACAATCATAAAGAAGCACACTTGAAATAAGTTTATTAAACTCACTTTTAAATTCTTAGATCCACAATGTAAAATAGTTTATTTTGTCCATATTCTATTTAAAATCACTTTAGAACTGTTAAAATACGGGACGTACACTGTCGGCATTGCAGCGCATTAAAAGCACGTAAATCGGGAAAAGACACAAATTCATATGGAAAGGCGACAGCGGAATACAATGGAAGACACCGAAACTTGAAAAGGACAAAAATTTAATAGAGAGTGTTCAAAGACGTGCAACAAGGTTAATTCCGGGCTTGAAAGGCAAGTCCTATGAGGAAAGATTGAAGATTATGAAGCTTCCAAGCCTCAGTTATCGACGTCTGCGTGGGGAACTCATTGAAGCACACAAGTACACTCATGGCTTATACAAGGTCCCAGAAGGATTACTAGAATTTACCAACACCAGGGGCCACGGCTATAAACTAAAAAAACTGCGTTGTAACACATCCATGCGACAACATTTCTTCTCGCTTCGAGTCACCGACATGTGGAACAGCCTCCCTGATAGCATCGTTGACGCTACGAGTATGAACGCTAGAACAGACTAGACGAAGCTTTGCAGGAGCATATGTTCAGTCTTAAAATGCTCAATCAATCGTCAGTTAGGGAAGGATCGGGTTCCAAAGGCCGGATCCCTTGTGAATCAAGTCATGAAAAATTCAAGAATCGGCAACAGGCCATGGGCCTATTTCTTCAGGGCCGACACTTCTATTCTATTCTATTCTTGTACGTATAGCTTCCCGCACAAATGTTTTGACGATGCCACCGCTGGGCTAGATACGTCACGTCCAGCAGCCCACAGTTTCATCTGTCGTATATGTATCATGGTTGTACTAGTATAAGTTTGACCCATAAGCAGAGGTGGGCAGTAGCGCGCTACACGTAGCGGCCGCTACATTTTCAGTAGCGGTAGCGGCGCTACATATTTAAGTAGCGATACGAGGTTTTGCCGCTAAAGCGCTACCTCTACATTTATAGATAAAGCATTTAGTTATTACTTAATAGTTTTAAATATTATTTAAAAACCAGCATGATACATACATAATATAAATTACAGAATAAAACTGTACGAAAGATTTCGGTGTAATGTTGTCAACCTCAGCCTGTTAGTAGTGTCAACATGTTAGTTGTTACTTGTTAAGTTGTTACCAGTTACCACTTACAGGTATTTTTTCATGTTTCAGTTTGCTTACAATTATTTTTACACAGTTATTTTTACGTTTCACCTTCCCTACATGGATGTCTACTTTACACTAGCAATCTCAAAAATAATCCACATATATATACAAATAAAAGACTGACTTTTTATATGTATATGTGGATAATTTTTGAGATTGGTAGATAAAAGTAGACATCCATGTAGGTATGGTAAAACATAAAAATAACTGTAACTTTTGTTTACTGTATCTAACCCGTACTAGTTCGGTTAGGTTAATTGCAATAAAGGTGCATTGATATGTTTTGAAAAAATTTTATTATCATTAAATGTTTATGAGCAAATCCCAATAGCAGATCAATAAATATTTAGTGATTTCCAATAATTTTGGCCATTGTAGCGGCTAATGTAGCGGCGCTACATTTTACTGTAGCGGTAGCGCTCGCTACAATCTAGTGGGTGTAGCGGTAGCGCCCGCTACATTTAGAGTATGTAGCGGTAGCGGTAGCGCCGCTACATTTCAAAGTAGCGCTGCCCAGCTCTGCCCATAAGAAGCTCATTTTTGCGGATGTAGTTCGTTGTTCGCCTGTGACGTCACTGATCTCAGTGGCGTCACGGGCATTAACCAATCACCGTAATGCGATCAAGTCAGTCAATCAATCAGTCATGGTAATGACGGGATTGTTTACGTTTCTGGACCTAAGTGACGTAACAAGAAAGCTTAACTGAAAGGCGGAAATCCTCGTGGGTTAACCTTATACAGTTCAACTATGGTATGTATGACACGACTACTTGCGTCTCTTACATTTTTATGGACGATATAACTATGGTCCAGCGATAATAAAATCAAAAATCCTACACGTGAATATTTAGAAGTAAATTTGGGAAAAACAGTTTCCTGTCGTTCACACCAGGCATGAAATATTCTCGCAATGCTTTCCAAATTTTGGTACCTACTTTCTGGAGCAATATTTTTGTGTGTGCTCAATTTTTTGTCAACACAAAGGTTTGTCATACAAACCACGTAGCGTTTGTCATACAAACATCGGGTGTAATGAATACCTAAGTTTTATTTGACCCGCAGCTTTATCTTCACAAATGCGTTTTTCCTCCGCAATCTGCTATCATGCTACAGTTTCCTTCATACGCCAGTTGCTATCATCCGTCCTCTGCTGTCATGCCTCAGCTTCCTTTTTGCCCCGATTCCTAACATCCGCTGCTGTCAGGCTTCAGTTCCCTTCATACGCCGATTCGAAAAATCCATCGTAGACAACCTGTGCATAGAATGCATTTTAAGTCTCGTGGCCTTAGTCTCCACTTAAGATAGATTTCATCAACTCCATCAACTCAACTAAGATAGATTTCATCAACTCCATCTATATTCATGAGATTACCATTAGTCTTCGACACCACTAACTTTGGGAGCGCTGCCGTAGCCCAAAAATTTGACTCTTAAATCAGCCCAAAAGCCAATGCCAACCCTCTACATGCAATAGAAATAGTCAGTCTTATACCTATGCAGCTGTTCTTACTTGCCTCATCTCGCCACACCAGCTTGAAACCAGTTATTCACCACCTCACCCCCCCTTCTTCTTTTTCTTCATTCATTTTACACTTTTTTCCTTTATAATACACACATCTCACAACAATGTCTCTCATTCGCTTTAGATTACAAAGTTATCTAAAGCGAAATTTATCTTTTATTTACACTCCACCAAAAAAAAGTCAATGACCAGCAACGCCTCAAGGAAACTTGGCCTCTTCTTCCTCACTTGACGCAATACGGGGGGAGGGGGGGTGAAACACACTAACCGAACCTGTACCTGACTCGACCTAACCCCAGTGTGGTGGGCATAGGCAATCACTTTCCGCTAACATAACCTGTACGGCCGTACCTAACTCGACCTAACCCCAATGGGCACAAGCAATCAGCTATCACTAACAGAACCTGTTCCTGACTCGACCCAACCCCAGTGGGGGGGAATCACACTAACCGAACCTGTTCCTGACTTGACCCAAACCCACTGGGGGGGAATCACACTAACCGAACCTGTTCCTGACTTGACCCAAACCCAGTGGGGGGGAATCACACTAACCGAACCTGTTCCTGACTTGACCCAAACCCACTGGGGGGGAATTACACTAACCGAACCTGTTCCTGACTTGACCCAACCCCAGTAGGCCTATGCAATCAGCTATCACTAACAGAACCTGATCCTGACTCGACCCAACCCCAGTGGGAGGGAATCACACTAACCGAACCTGTTCCTGACTTGACCCAACCCAAGTGGGAGGGAATCACATTAACCGAACCTGTTCCTGACTTGACCCAAACCCAGTGGGGAGGAATCACATTTACCGAACCTGTTCCTTACTTGACCCACCCCCAGTGGGGGGGAATCACATTAACCGAACCTGTTCCTGACTTGACCCAACCCCAGTGGGGAGGTATCACACTAAATGAACCTGTTCCTGACTTGACCCAACCTCAGTGGGGGGGAATCACACTAACCGAACCTGTTCCTCACTTGACCCAACCCCCCAGTGGGGGGGAATCACACTAACCGAACCTGTTCCTCACTTGACCAAACCCCAGTGGGGGGATTAACATTAACCGAACCTGTTCCTGACTTGACCCAACCCCAATGGGGGGAATCACACTAACCGAACCTGTTGCTCAGAGCTATGCTTCGAACTTAATTTTGATTTCTTGCAATCGAAATTATTACTAAGCTTGAATAAAACTCATCTGCTTAACAACAAAGTGTTCTCATGCAGTTCAAAAAGCCATAGGTCCTAACGGATACGTGTGCAGACTTTGAGCGAGTTGCGTTCATTATATTAAGACATATTTCTTGGTCGTTGTGCATGAGCAAATCTTGGAGACCGGGTCGTTCAGCCGTGAACCTTGAAAACAAAGGCGAAATCTACGAAATTTTGTCTTTTTATCTACCAAGCTTTAACTTCCTCGGTGAGTTGTCACGACGCCTCGGACAAATTTACGGCCGGACTTGCGGCCGGTCTCGCCGAAAATCTCAAAATACAGTGAATGAGGAATATCTCCCAAAGTAATGAACGTAGCTCGATGAAACTTGGTACACGTATTCATTAGCACCTAACGGTGATGTTTACGCCGTGAAAATTTTTGGAACTTTTCACCTTCATTCGTGAGGTATGTAGCGATACGTGCCGAAATTCGCAGGGAATAAAAACAAGTTCTTAACTACATTACAGATTTAAACGAAACTTTGAATATACAAACGAAACCTCTCAACGGTGATGTTTAGCTCGCGATAATTTTTTTTTGCCTTCGTTCGCGAGTTATACGGATATACGGCGAAACGACCGACACTTTTCAGGCTGATTTTTAAACTTGCATTGTCAAAGAGGTGTTCACGTAAAGCCGTATGACTCGCAAAAGAAGTCAAACTAAAAAAAATTGTCACGAGCTAAACATCAACGTTGGGAGGTTAAGTGTTCATTAAGACATTAACAAAGTTTCGTTCAAATCTGTTCATTATTTTAGAATAAATTTATTGTTCACTGTAAATTTAAGAATGTATTGCTGTCTAAATCAAGAATGAGGGAAAATGAAAATAAATGGCGAACGAAACCAATATCTAAAAAATTGTCTCGAGCTAAACATCACTGTTAAGAGGTAAGTCATGATGTCTAAATAACATTCAACAATTTCGTCGCCAGCGTTTTCCCGGTATCGATAAGGCAGTCACTGTACTGACTGTAGTCACAGAGCGGACATCGTGTAAAGGAGCTGGGGTAGGTCTTCTAGAGTTCTAGATGGTGATTTATATCAACTTTTGAATTATAGGGTGTTAATAGGAAAGTTTATACATCTTCTGTTTTGCATCAAACCTATTGAAGTAGTGATATAACAAATATTTGAGAATTGAGCGGTTGAGTGACTTGAGTCTTAAAATCGGTAACGGCCATATTCATTATAAAAAATTCTGGGGACATTAGACAATTGGTTGGAAATTTTGGACATGTTTTCTTCTTCATCTTACCTAGCTACTAGTTCAGATCATTATCCAGTGTATATAGGCTGCCAGTGGAACAGTATCTCTGTCTATCTCATGCTGACTTGAGACCCTATATAAGCCTGTACTCTGTACTGTAGTAAAAAATTGTTGCTAAAGTTCTTATTCAAGTTTGAAATTTTGTAGCTTCAAACCAAACTTGGAAATTGAGCAGTAGCCCTTATAATTTTATTGAATTATTGGGAAAAGTCCTACTTTTTTTCTGACAGACTCATAGTGACAAAGCAGAGAGTTTTTTAGACTCTCCCTCAAGTTCATTTTTGAGTCCTATAAGTAGACCAGTAAAGTATCATGGATACCAGCATTATTATACTTAAGAAATTGGTTTAAATCTTGAAAAATTAGGATAATAAAAATGAACTGATTCTAAAAAAGCTCTGGTTTGCCACTATGGACAGACTGACATTACAGCTCCAATATCAAATAATTTTAGTAGGTAGGGTAAACGCGGTATATTCCGACATCGTAGGTAATTCCGTCACTTCTCTAGTTTTTCCTTTATATTAAGCTTTGTTTTAGTTCCATGCGTTCATTGATGGTTGAAATGGTGACGTCATACATTTGCGTGTCGAAATTATAAATACTGCAAAACCACTAGGTTAAGGCCATCTAGCGGGAAAATATTGAGATCCAAAGAGAGACAATGCATGCCACGTGGTGAGATCATCGAAAAATGTGTCAAATTTGACAGTTGACATGGCTCTACCAAATAGTGAATAACTGTTTTTATAGGAAGAATATTATGGTTTGATTGACGGAATATAGGGATTTGGTAGGTTTCCATTCTAAAGGCTTTTTAATAAATATGGCAACATTTTATGACATTTAATCGTTGCTGACGCGTAGTGAAGTGTTTTGAGAGTCATGTGAAGGCAACAGAACTTACGTAATGCATACGGTTTTTTTTTATAGTTTTTCATTTTTCGATGCGTCCTTAAAGTGTCGGAATATACCGCGTTTACCCTATGAAATCTTGCAGCTCTAAAGCCTCTAATCAACTAATGTAATGTATTTATGTTTTTTTATTGAAGAAATTGGGTACAAAAATGTGTCATTCCACAATATTTTCAACCATAGTGGCAAAGCAGAGAGTTTTTTAGACTCTCCCTCAAGTTCATTTTTGAGTCCTATAAGTAGAGTAGACCAGTTAAGTATCCTGGATACCAGCATTATCATACATAAGAAATTGATTTAAATCTTGGGTAAATGAGGAAATTAAAAATGAACTGATTCTTAAAGATCTCTGCTTTGTCACTATGTTTTCAACTTCTGCACCACTATGCAGAGGGTGGATGCAGCGTCGCCAATATATGAATTTTTAAGCCCAAAGCGTCGCCGGCCATTTTAAAGATGCATCGCCGGGTAATTTTTAATGAAAAGCCATTTACGCTGAGTAATGATGAACTATTTACAAGCCACAAACTTATTTAAAAGGTTGCAGGCACGTGTTACCCCACATAACTAATTTTACCCTAAAAACAGGCTGATTGTACAGCAAGTGTCAACTGAACATGTAATAAAGCAGTCTGACCGCTCTAATGTGACCGAAACTACGCAATCGAAAAAACCTTGTTTACATGTTTTTGCGGGAACTCATCGCAACTGATTTCCGGACAAGCTTCGCTGCATCATAATCCATCCAACGTACCGGAAACCTTACTTTTTTTCTAAATAGTTGGCCGAAGACTGAGAGATATATTAAATGCAAGAATTTCAATCTAAATGTGTCGGCAAGATCTTCTGAAGGCAAAAATTTCGCTACTGAAGCGTCACCAAAGATCTTGCTATATTCATCCACTCTGCACAGTGGCTTCTGCAGTTCAGCACCATGCGCGATGCGCACTAGTGCTGAGTAGTGCCCACTGCCCACCACCACTGTCCACCAGAAATAATAATAATCCAGAATACTATCCTGCACAATAAGTGAACCCAAAATGTTTTATCAGTGATTGCATAGTTGCTTCCACATCAGACTGCATTAAAACTGCATTTATTCTTTAACAAAAATGTAAATAATGCATTAGGGTAAACGCGGTATATTCCGACATCATGGGTAATTCCAACACCTCTCTAGTTTTTCCTTTATATTAAGCTTTGTTTTAGTTCCATGTGTTTGTTGATGGTTGAAATGGTGACGTCATACATTTGCGCGTCAAACTACTGCCAAAACACTAGGTTTGGGCCATCTAGCAGGAAAATGTTGAGATCCAAAGAGAGATGGTGCATGCCACCCAATGAGATCATCGAAAAATGTGTCAAAGTTGACAGTTGACCTTGCTCTACCAAATAGTGATAAACTGTTTGTGTNAAACTAGTAATTAGAGACCTAAATTAGTTTAATTGAGTAAAGTATATATATAGTATATATATAGTATGACGTGCGGGCGCTCACGTTATAGACAAGCAGGCGCTAACGCTGCGTATCATCGATACGTATGTCAAGTCATACTTAATCAAGTCTTAATCGTTTTTCTTGTGGACTAAAAAGTAGAAAATAAAATACTTAAAAAAAACTTTAAAAAAAAACACGTTTTTCTTGTGGACTAAAAAGTAGAAAATAAAATACTTGAAAAAACTTTTTAAAAAAACACGTTTTTCTTGTGGACTAAAAAGTAGAAAATGAATTATGGTTTGCCCCAAAAAAACCTGGGTCGGGCTGTACGTTCACCATCAAATTTCCAAAATTTAAGTGTTGGGTGCTTTTCGCTTTAATCATAAATCTGCCCGACACACGTTTTTTGGGGCGAACCATAATTTATTTTCTACTTTTTAGTCCACACGAAAAACGTGTTTTTAAAAAAGTTTTTTAAAGTATTTTATTTTCTACTTTTTAGTCCACAAGAAAAACGTGGTTTTTTAAAAAGTTTTTTTGGGTATTTTATTCATAGTGGGTATAATAAGCATAAATAAGTAATTTCAATCATGAAAAAGCTAAGAACAAAGCTGTATACAGACAATATTTTTGCGTGCACTGTCAAAATTCATTTTGATTTTAACTAGCACAATAAAAGCAAATTTGTAGCATGTTTCATGCACATAAGTTTTTAAAATTGAAACTGAGCTTAACCTTTCCAACAACAAAGCTATTTATTCAAAATACACTACTGCAAGTGTTAAGGGAATTATATATACAGTGGGGGGAAATAAATATTCGTACACTTGAAAAATCGTATTTTAATGTAGGTAAGTACACAAACTTAACAGGAAAAGTGATTTAAATTATGTATAGAGACGCATAGTATGAAAAAATGCTATCAAAAGAAATTAAATCTCAATGCAACAAAAAACCATGCAACATGTTCACTTTTCGGGTGAAAAAAGTAATCGTACAAAACAATAAATCCGCATTATTTTAATTTAATACTTGGTTGAATACCCTTTATTCAGCTCAACAGATACCAGTCTATTTCTATACGTCTTTACCAAGGATTGGCAGATGCTGACTGGTATTTTATACCATTCTTCTTGGCACACCACCTTAAGATTCTCAATGTTTGTTGGGGACCTTTTCTTAATTTCAACATTCAAATACCGCCACAAATTTTCAATCGGATTTAAGTCTGGCGACTGGCTTGGCCATTCCATAACGTGTACATTTCTATCAGTGAACCATTTCTTTGTGGATCTTGCAGTATGCTTAGGATCGTTATCCTGCTGGAAAATCCAATCACCAGGTAGCTCTAGTTTCTCAACAGAAGTCGTCAAATTATTTTCGAGGATGCTCTGGTAGTTTGCAGCATTCATCCTACCATCTATAAGTGATATTCACATGGTGACGATAATTTCGACCGAAAAGCTCAATTTTTGTTTCGTCCGTCCAAAGAACCTTTTCCCAAAAAGCATAGTCTTTGTCCTTATGCTCCTTGACGAATTTCAGCCTGGCATCTTGATGTTGTTTCATTAGGAGTGGGGTGTTTCTTGGGGTGCGTGATTTTAATTCGTTTCTGTGAAGTTCATTGCTTATCGTTTGTTTGGTTACTTGAATTCCTGAGGCACTCAGGTGACTTTGCAACTCTCCTCGAGTAATCTGTGGATTTTCTTGGATTTTTCGTCCCAATAATGTAGCAGATCGTGCAGAAATCTTCCTAGGAGCACCTGATTGTCTTTGGTTTTCAACGCTGTCACGGGTCTTGAAGCGTCCAATGAACGAAGCAACTGTACTAAAAGGAACATTCAAGTGGCTAGCAATCTTCCTATAACTTTCTCCTTCCTTCCAGGACTTGAATGCCGTCTTAAATCCGATTGAAAATTTGTGGCGGTATTTGAAGATTCAAATAAAGAAAAGGTCCCCAACAAACATTGAGAATCTTAAGGTGGTGTGCCAAGAAGAATGGTATAAAACACTTGTCAGCATCTGCAAATCATTGGTCAAGACGTATAGAAATAGACTGGTATCTGTTGAGCTGAATAAAGGGTATTCAACCAAGTATTAAATTAAAATAATGCGGATTTATTGTTTTGTACGAATACTTTTTTCACCCAAAGAAGTGAACATGTTGCATTGTTTTTTGTTGCATTGAGATTTAATTTCTTTTGATAGTATTTTTGAAAACTATGCGTCTCTATACATAATTTAAATCACTTTTCCTGTTAAGTTTGTGTACTTACATACATTAAAATACGATTTTTCAAGTGTACGAATATTTATTTCCCCCCACTGTATGCATATATAAGACCTCTCAGACACTTTTATGGCCAGGCTCACGGTCTACAAGTTTC